GTGTAAATTATGTTCCATCAGACAGATTTCTTTTGTAGACTATTCATGGAAAAATAAAACTGTGAGTTTTCTTTTTCTACCAAGCAGCAGAAAAAGTTGAGGCATAATTTGCCTTTTTTATTTTGCACCGTCTGTACTCCTAGTCTACTTTTTGGTCAATTTTGTTTTCCCTAAAGTATCTTTAAATTTAAAACATATTACTCTTCACTGACTTAAATTACCAGCTTGTTCCACCTCTTCATTAAATCTACTTCATTATGTTACTGAGAAATACTCAAAGTCAAGCTGCCACCTTTTCCTCCTTTGATAAGTCATTTATGTTGCACACAGTCTTGTTTGGATTCAAACTCAAGTTTAAGTGAATTTTACATCCGTACCATGAGATGGGAATATTGTAGATGTTTTCATGTTTTTAAGAATATTCCACCTGACTAATGGGATCTGCACTTAAAACCTTTTTTTTGTTTGTTTTACTTAAGTGGGTTTGAGTAAGGTTTGGATGCATAAGCGTACGTTTTTTTATGACCCCCACAATGGGATGCTGCTCGTGTTGATTCTGGATCTAAAAGTATGGCTTTTCAAAGGCACTTCGAAGTTCTGGTGTCTGGAGAGATGTTTTTAACGAGAGATTCCCTGTTATGTTTGTATTGTGCAAATGCATGAGGATGTGCACATACATGTGGACGGCACAGTTTATATCCTCCCTTAAATTTCACACTATTCTAGTGATAAGCATGAAAAAAGAGACTGCAGCCGAGTACATATAGATGCAAACAACACACAATTTGAAATATGCAAGAAAAAAAAGCATACTTATGATATTTGTGAGACCTCAAAAACACTATATTTTTGAGAGCTAGAACTTGTGTTTGTTTCAAAAACAGTTCCTCAGGGAACCGTTGCATCTCATTGGTCGCTGTACAAAACACAACTTGTCGAATACTGTAGCTTTATGTATTTGACTACTTTTTCCATGGTGGTTTCCATGAGGAGGGGAAGAGATTTAAAGCAGTTGTGTTTCCTGACAGACAGCTCATGTTTAGATGTGAAAGAATTATGAATATTTTCTGTGGTCAAGTTAATGTTGATGATGTGTTAAAGTGAGGAGGGGTCAACGTATCTGCTGTTATTCTGAATGTTTACATGTGCGTTCGTCAATATGCACATTTCACTGGACTGTTTCAAGTTTAACGAAGGCGATATTTAAATATCTTCAGACATAGATCTATTTGCTGCACAGAACAATCCTCCAGTGGTTTAATCATTTGCTCTCATCTCAGCCCAGCTGAGACGCGACACAATAGAGAGAGCTGTTCGCTCGTGCTCGCTCCAAAATAAGGACAGATATTCTTCAGCTCCTTTGTCTCCCAGGACTTTGAGGCAGACAGTCGTGATTTACTCCGAGTAGGACTGTGATTGAGTGTGTGTTTGTTCAATGATTCAGAGGTATGAGTTCATCCGCACAATATTTGTGTGAGTCTCTGTGTGTAGGGGGGTGTTATTTTTTTATCAATGGGAAATAAAGTTAGGTACGTGCCCATTTGTCCCACACGCGGGACAAGGATTCTCAGACAAATGAATATTTGCAAACATGATCTCTGGCAGCCTTGGACTAATAAAATGTGCTACTTGAGGTTTTCCCAGCGGAGAGCCATTAACACAAGGACTAACCCACCCACCATGAGAATCTGGCTGCATTCTGTAAAAATGAGGCCTTTTCCAACCTTAAATCTCTGATGAAGGTCTTTGTTTTTTTTGTTTTTTTACCTTGTTAACGTGTCTATGTGGTATTTTTTTATATGCTAGAAAACACATAATGGGCGAAATAAGCAGTCATGGCTGAGCATTTCCACCTTGAAACTGCAGTGTACCGATGGCAGTCTCAAAAACACAGATTTAGACTTCCAGGGTTTGATACTTAACGAATCTGAGGAACCAATCCTGTCAACTTGTGCGGTGGAGCTTTGTGTCATTTTTCTTCTTCAGAGTCTGTATTTGTTTTGAACATGTGTGGTTGAATTACAACATCATGACTTAGGACTTATAGCTGAAAAGTCTATCACTATAAATGTTTTCATTTCAGTTGTTATAATTAATTTGTAGCGTCGTGAATTTAACCACCTTACTTTGAATTTAACCGCTTTAGCCTATTTATCAACTGAACACTGAAAAGGTAATTTGTTGGATTTACTTAAAACAGCTAAGTCAACTTTTTCCACGAAACTGAGTTATGTTGGAACTAATTTAGCAGTACAATTAATACAGCAATAACTAACTTAACACAAACATGTTAATTAAGTTTAGTATAGGTGCATTTAATTAATTCAACAACTCACAAACTTCACTTTTTTCAGTGTACACCGTAATACTTTATTGTTAATACCACTGTGTAAAATACACAGGGATAAAGGAATGATCTCACCTGCATACATCTACCATAAAGGAAGCAGGTACAACATGGAGGGCAACCAGGGTGAAGCGCGAACCAGGTATCACCAAACGGGGGCCCCACACTTGCCTCCTTCTGACATAAAGTCCGTCAGTTGTCAAAGCAGGCTGCCGAGAGTGCATTGATTAGGTGGAGGTGGTAGGGGACATGGGGTTGTGGGTGTTTTTAGACTTCAAAGCTCGTCTTATAGTTCATGTCCACAGGGGCATTTTAAAACGCAAGGGGTCACATTGCTTCCCAGGATTGGACACTTGATAGGCATGCAGCGAAGCAGTGTCACAATAGATGACTGACAGGTGCTCTTCAGTAGGAATCCAATTCAAGCCTCATCGTGCTACAGCCAAACACTGACAGCACCTGACTGGACCAACACGTCACTCGTGGGCTCCTGGACCATAATGGCAGCTCGTCTACAAACTTTTGCTTATATTACAAAAACATGACACCAAAATGTGTTTCTGAACACATCTGAGGCATGGAGTTGCTGAATCTGTCTGAATTTAATCTGTAACAGTTCATTAAAAAGTTTTTCTGGAGTTTCCAGAGACGTGGAGTGGTGGCCTGATGGCCCTGGTTTGCATAAAGTGGCCGAGACCTCAAATTAATCCAAATGAGGGGTGAGTACCTCAACACCACGTCTCTCAAAATGCATGGCAATGCTACCGGAATGCATTGCAGGGCTGCTTATAGACATGAATGGAAAGCGCTGAAGTGACGGTTCCTATGGACATATACCACTACAAGGGCAAACGTTGGTCCCTGCCGGTTGCAGCCTCCACCAAGGGAGGTCTAGCACACCTTGGGAGACCTGCACAGTAGCCGCAGGGCTCCATTATCAAGCTGTGACAGGCTGTTCTTGATCCAGAGAGGGAGCACGCTTGGAGGTTGAATTTTTGTTTTTTTTTCATGGCAGTTTGCATCCAATGCATTGAAATGAAACTCTTAAACATTGAATCAGACAGTTTTCTTATAGTAGTGATGGAGTACCAATTGCCATACAATAGACTGTTGTTTAAAGCTATTATTACAACTTGCACTTGTGTAGAGAAGGTTTATAGTGTTTGAATGGCCTTGTGGGTTAGTTAGTGAGTAAAAGTTGCACAGTGGTGCAGTGGTTAGCAATGTTGCCTCACAAGCTGAATCCACTCCTGGACCTTGTTTGGAGTCTGCATGTTCTTTCTGTGTTTTCTCAAGGTACTGCAGCTTTCTCCCACCAGCTACATTTTCTTCCTCCCACCAATTTAGAAAAACCAATGAGGTGAAATAGTGATTCTAAATTAGATGTGTGGTTGTCCGTCTCTCTGAGCTGAATGGGCGACCTGTCCAGGATGTGCCCTGTCTTTCGCCCCATGTCAGCTGAGATAGGCTCCACTTCTAAATGTTCAACTTTGTGGCACAGAGTTGAGTTTTTAAAGGTTAAATCAGCAACTGACACAGGTGATACAAATGCAGATTTGAACATGTTTTTGTGCTCATATTTTAGTGGGCAAGCAGACAAAGTTGAGGGAGGTTGAAGATTAGAGTTAGACAAGAAGTGATTCAATAGCGCCACACAACATGATGCGCTCATCTGTGGTTAAAGGGTTCACATCTATTATACTGCAATGCTGTAGGGACTCTGTGTGAATGGAGGGAGTGTAAAAGAACGAGGAAAGGAGGAGTGGGACCTCTCCATCACTCCGACTATGACCTTCCAAGAGTCACGCTGTTATAGAGTACAGAACTAATGCCTCAATATATTATCTGAATATGCTGCATTATCATTATGCCTCTCCCTCTCACTATCACTCTCGCAGTCTTTCACTCACACACACACACACACACTCGGAGACACAATGCAGGGAGATGCACTAGTGTTTCCCTACACAAAATTTCGATGATGAAATGTTTTCACACTGCAGGTCAGAGATAGAGAAACAGAATGGAAGAACACGGCACAAAGCGAGCTGGTTTAGCCTTATGAGTAGCTACTCTCTCGCTGCTCTCTGCTGCTCTGTGCTGTGTGTGAAGTGGAATGCAGGAGATAACATAGAGACTTCCTGGACAAGAGCAAGGTCAACATATGCGCGCCGTTACTGACACTCACTAATGCATGCGCACAATGCTGACAATCTGGTACACAATGGCAAGCGGGGAGAGAGGGAGGACTGCGGGAGACAAGGGAGATAAGAGCAAAATGTCACACCATTATTTTGTGGGAGAAATGGCTGAAGAGGAGAACAACCACAGTTTCAGCTCATCCCGCAGAACATCATTGATTCAAGTGTCCGAGTATATTGACCAGTGCCATTCATATGATGCCACAGTTCAGAGTGTGTGATCCGAGTTAGTCGCGCAACAAGATGTTGCTAACATCCGTACTTTGACCTGTACCACAGTTGTTGTTGTTCTTTTTTTTTTTTAAAAGATTACTGTTGAAGTCTTTTGTGGTCTGTGTGATTGATGATCCTGAGGTAATAGCACTTGGTCTGAGGTAGATTGAGGTCCTTGACTTGAAGATGTACTGTGGCCCGCAGAGTGATTGTGTGTGTGTGTGTGTGTGTGTCTGCAGGGCAGGATCGCAGCGAGTCAGCTCTCATCAGGCGTTTTAAGGGCGATGGCGTCCGCTACAAGGCCAAACTCATCGGCCTGGACGAGGTTACTGCCGCCCGTGGAGACAAACTCTGCCAGGACTCGATGATGAAGCTCAAGGTAAGGAAAGTCTTTCTCCTCCTCTTTTTCTTGGTTGTTGCGTCCTAAATGAAGAATTAAGCTGTTCTTTTAATTTACGACTTAACCCTCTGAACCCCAATCAATTTTCTGACAGTTTTTGCTCCTTTCACTGTTTTTGTCTCTGTGGTTTCATTTTTCACTGCAGTATAAAGTCTGACATCTCTATGGAAACAGCACAACCATGACTAGAGGCAGAGAGAAGTCAGTCATGTCTTTTGTGCAGTATAACAAACTTGCAATGCCATAAGTTATTTTTAAGAGGTTATTAATTTTACACAAATTTTATTTAAAAAAAAAAATCAAATCAACATGTCCCACATTTTTGTGTCCCTGTCTTTGACCAAAAATGGAAAAAAAAAAGGTAGCTCTTCATACTATAAATATTCTACGACTTATATTTTTGTCTCCTATCTGCTCTGTGTATACACAGCCTGCAGTTCATCTTAAAAGTCCCAGAATTTTCTGAATATTTGTCATGCCACTGTTGGTTGTAGCTGATTCAGTAATGGCTTCCTGGCTGTGTTGAGGAGTGCAGAATTATTATTTTTTTTACAGGATCTCATTAGAGGTAATAGGTAAACTTCCCACAGATAAGTAGTTTAAGGGCTGTCAGAAAGTTGAAAATCAAACATTATTTCAGTTTTTACAGTTTCTGTCTTAGATAAATAGTGTAATTTTTGCATATGTAAATATAGATTTTTTTTTAAAAAGCTACTTGCCTTTCAAAGCTGACAGCAGGCTTTGGGGATCAGAGAGTTAAAACTGCTGCAAACAAAAAAGTTTGCATGCTACTGACAAGAAATTCCAAAATGTGGAGAACTTCAGCATTCAGAAATAGTCTAACACGATTGCCTACAGCTACGTGAAGCTCCATGACCCACTAAAACCACTGAACATCAATCGCCATCACAGTTGTCAGTCCAGAAATAGCTCAAGTTCATGCATATTCTAAAGTTCAACATTTTTGTACATCACAGCATAAATGCGCCTCTGTGTGTACATGCATCCATACCGAGTTTGTTGAAGTTTTTCTTTGCAAATTTCCAGAGGAGAGAAGAAGTAGAGGAAGAAAGATGGAGGGGGAAAAAAAACAGGGATGATGTAATTTATAGAGACGACTATGATCGGTGAAAGAGGAAGCGGGGAGGTTAGCCATATGGATGAGAAGGGGATTGGGGTGAATGTCTCATTTGCAAGGACAGGAACAATTAGAGGCAGAGGTAGACAGATGGGGCAGTTAGCAGAGAGGAGATCACATATAGGAGGGAAATAATTTGGATGATAGGTGAGAGAGAGAGATGAACAAGAATAAAGATGAAGAGAAATAGGCCATTTGTATTCATTTATAAATAAAGTCCTAATGAACAACCTCGTTTTCCGAAATAACTGATTGCAGTGTGCGTACAAAAAAACCAACTTCTACTTTCTGTTGCACTAAAAATACTGTTCAAATGTCACATCTTTAAACAAAACCTAGATTCTGCTTTTTTTTTCTCTTTTTGTTTCTCTACAAATATCTGCCGAAAGAGCTTCAGCGTGAAGAGCGGCTTATTAATTATTAATTGTCCTTTAACTCGTACTGCAGGAGATATTGAAATTGAAAAAAAAAAAACTTACATTTTGTTTACGTGTGGTGAAAACTCTATCCAGCGGAGACCTGTAAGGGTGAGAACAGGATAGACAGCTCATTGATCAAACAGCTCCCCTCCTCCTCATTTATTCAGACAGGAAATCCATCAAGTCTTTTTCTCTGATCTCTCCACCTCCTCTCTCATGCAGCTCCTCCCTTTCCTCGCCCGACTCCTTCATCACTGTGATCTCACGCCACTCTTTTCTTGTCCTTTTGTGACTCACCTATGCAAATGGAGGAGGAGGGAATGTTAAGGGGGACTTCCAGCCATAGATACAGTTGTAGTATGTCATTATATGTTCGGTGCGTTCAAGCGCACGTGTTGTCAAGAGGTGACACTTACCATAATGCCTTTTAACAATCTAACATCTACAGTTGCTATAGCAGCAAAGAAGCAAACATGGCTTGATAATGTGCATTTGATTGATTGGATAAATTTCTATGTTAAGCATCCCCTCTTGTAAAAATCAAGTTTTTTTTAACCATGTTAACATATGGTGGTTTTTTTCTAGCAAAATAAGCAGTCAACAGCACGACTTAGATATTTCCACCCTGAAACTACAGTGTAGCTACCAACGACACTCTTAGAACCATGAAGTCCAACTTCTACAGCTTTAGCAAACACAAGGAACCAGTCCTGTCAACTTGCAGGGTAAAGCTTTCCTTATCATTACCACTGATCAGAATCACCTTCTGGTTCGGACATACAGTGCCAAAATACTCAAATATTACAGTTGTCATTGTGTAGCCTAGAGTAGTTTTACAGTGTTTGAGCGTTAGTAGGGTTACATCCAAGCATTTGAAGGCAGGAAGTGATTATTTTCATTAAAAAAGCTCCAAAATATCTAACTTTGGAAAGCAGATATGGGTTTTTAGAGGTTCAAACACGAAAGGAGAAGGACTTTAAATAACTTGTAAAACTGAACCCAAATACAGTAATACTGTACTCACAAATGTATTCTTTTTTGTAGTATTACTGGACAAGGTATTGGATGTTTATAAGTGATTTATAGAAGTATTTCCAATTCAGTCACACAAAAAATGAAAAGGACAATTGAGGTTACTGTTGGTAGAAAAAATGTTACATACATTTCTCGCGATGTATCTGTAAACTCACTAATCTGAAGGGAATGCTAGTATGTGCTGCTTACAGCTGATTTTGCAGAAAGAGTATAATTGACAGTTATTGACAGGTAATAGAAAAATGCATAATTCAACAAGGAAATGGGCTTTTAGATGCAGAGGAGAGGCTGTATATGTGTTTTTCTATTCTATCCGGACTCTAACATGGTTGTTTTCTCCATGTCGGTGTTTGTGTGTGTCTTTCCATCCTCAGGGCATAGCTGCAGCAGCACGGTCTAAAGGGGAACACAAACAGAAGGTGTTTCTGACCGTTTCCTTTGGAGGGATCAAGATCTTTGATGAGAAGTCAGGGGTAAGCTCTGAAGCAAATGTGTTTGTTTGTGTGCGTGTGTGTGTGTGTGTGTTCCTGCATGCAGCATTTCTGTGTGTGCGCGCATTTGTGTTTCCTCTGTTAATGAGGCATCTCCATGAGAGGGAGGGGCCCCTGGGGAAATCAGGAGGCCCTAATTGAAACCCTGAGAACAAGGCCTCAGTAGATGAGAGAACATGGCTATCCCATTGTTTGCCTCTGTGCAAACAGCGGCAACACTGGTTTCACATTATGCTCCAGGATTATGCATTTTCCATCTTACATGGCTTCTTTTGTGGCTGACCGATGGAATCTGTGCAGACCTCACTGTCCGTCTGCCACAGCATTAAAACCACCTGCTTAATATTGGATAGGTGCCCCTCATGCTGCCAAAACAGCCCTGATCCTTCAGGGCATGAACATGGAACCTCTAGGAGTCTCCTGTCGTGTCTGGCACCAGGACGTTGGCAGCAGATCATTTGAGTTTTGTCGATGAGGCCCCAGTAGGTCTGGCTTGTTCAACTGCATCCCACAGATGCTCAGTCAGATTAAGATCTGGGGACTTTTGAGGCCAAGTTAGAGTTTTGGAGTCTTTGTGATGCTTCTCAAACTGTTTTTGCAGTGTGCCAGGGGGCTCCTGTCCTGCTGGGAAGTGCTGTTATGGGAGCGGCTTTAGGCTGGTCTAGGTAGTTCATACGTGCCAGAGTAACAGCCACGTGCATACCAGGGAACAACATTTCCCAGCAGAACATTTCATTTTAACGAGATGATAAATGGTATACAATTCATCTGTCAGTGGTTTTACGTTGTGGCTGATCGGCGTATTGTCAGTTCTGCAAAGCATTGTTCTCAGTGTCTGATCAAATCTTGAATCCTTGCAGTAAACTGTAAACACACAGGACTTCTTTCTTGGCTTCTCCTGACATCTCAGAGATTCACGACAATAGGAACAGTCATAAACGGCAGGCACTCTGTGAACAACTCAAAATTAATTAATTGAATACTGTTTCAGGGTGCTTGTAGCTCACGGGAAAGTGACCACAAGTGCCAGGTGATTTCTTTTTAAATGTTCTTCCTCAAGGATCCTCTGACATGTAATATCGTGGTTCAATTCCCCAAGTGGCCATAGCTGTCACTGTATCCTTGAGCAAGACGTATAACGCTTACACTCACCAGTATATGGGCTCTCTGGTCACTAAACAGGCCATTTTGCCGTCTTTTTGTGTTAATGATGGAGAATTAGTGTCCCATTAAATTCCAAAAACGTGTAAAGAATACATCTTTAAAAAAATAGTCGATTTAAGGTGTTTGGCTCTGTTTGCTCATTGTAGCCCTGCATAGATCCTCTGTGCATGTTGGGTTTTTATATTCATTTTGGCAGCTGGAGCAGAACAGCCTTGTTTTTAAAACATAATACAGCATCTGTTGTTGTTTATGTCGCGTAAATATGCAGCGTGAGCTGTCGGTTTCGCTCTGTTCTGTGTGGCGGCGAGCGGGTCTGATTGTGTGCGTAGTCTGGTTTAGATGCGAGATGAAGCTTGCTGCGCCGCTTCTAGCTTTAGCGGCTGACATGGTAAGCCGAAGATTTACACCTCGGCAGCAGCTCGGATGTCACTGACTCTGTGTGTATGTGAGTGCGTGCAACCGGCAGTAAGTCAAAAGTGCCTCAACAAGCAGGACGCACTAAGAAGTGGCCACCCACATGGCAGCCATATTGGATGCAGCCAAACTCATCTATCACCCAACTAATTCTAACCCTAACCCTTAGGCTCATCCACCTTCTTAATTTTTCAAAAGGATAAAGGGTGGGGGGGGGACAAGACATGGATGTAAAAGTAGAGATAAAAAGACGTAAAACTGTAGAAAAGGGCAAGAGGGAGAGAGAAGGTGAGAGGAAACAAGGATGTGAAAAAGACTGATAGAGGAAGGATGCGATGGAGAGACGGAGACAGACTGATACAGAGTTAGAGGAATATGTGAAGAATCAGTGAGCATATGTCAAAGTAAAGCTCTCTACAGGGAGACCTTGTCCTCTGTCTCCGCACATTAATATTAAGTATAGAGATATGCAGTCCTTACTATCAGTCCTTCAACCACTCCTAATGGCAAGGGAGGGAGGGAGGAAGAAAGAGAGAAAGAGAGAATGACTCTGCTGAGGTTCAGGGATCTTGACAGTCTCATTCCCCTCCTGTGCATCAGTCAGCCAGATGGGCGGATGGATGTATGGGTGAGCGAATGGATGGATGGCCTCTCTCTTGGAGGAGGGAAGGTCGTGCGGGATGGAGGGAGGTGGTGCTTGAGATGGAGGAGAAGAAGAGGGGAGACATTAATCTAACAGAGGGCAGGCCAGCATGTCTCTCTTTCTGTCAGCCTCTCGCGCAAGACACACACACACATGCGCAGACACTCGTGTGCACTAACCTCTTCAACCCTTTTTGTCAGTCTCGGCGGGGCCACTGCACAACGTCGGGTCAAGAACTCACAAGAGTGAAGGGCCGGGCTCGTCGGCCCAACTGCTGCTCCCTCGGAGAATGAAATCAGGAAGATCAAATTAATCCTGTTCAGCCAACAGAAAAGAATATGCAAAAAGAAAAGAAAAGAAAACAACATACGCTGCCATTAATGTCAGACTTCTCCATATTTTCCAACTCGGACCCTATCACATATGCTGTCACTGCATGTTGACAGACCACGTTTACGATATTAATTGGAAGGTGGAGATAGAGGAATGAAAAGGGGGTCGAGATCAGAGCGTGAGATGAACGGTGGGTGAAGCTAGAGGGGATTAACTGTGAGTCAAATGGGAATTGTTCTCAGTGAAGCATCATAGTTTCATCATTCACCTTCTACACCGAGGACAAGGCAAGGAAGCGGCAGAAGCGTCCCACTGGAGTTGGGAATACAAGGATAGTGAACGATAAAGAACGTGTTCAGACATCTAAAGCCGAGGTTGAAGATTATCAGCGCATGAGCATCCTTTCTGTTACTGCGTCTGTGCTTATCAGACCCTTAAACCGCAGTCATACGGTCTGCTTCAGTCTGATCTGGCTTGTCTGATCTCATCATAGCCTTAACTTATCCTGCAGTTCAGATATAAATATATGCAGATGATGCTGTTTAGTATGTCCGTATAACTGGCGAACAAATGCGTCTCTCATTGGCTGAATGCAATCTCTTTGCACCTAAACATAAAGTATCTGCGTGTAATTTTTCTAAAATACTGACACTTGTCATCCTGATAAAATATTAAATTAAGAAAAAAATAATCATTTTAGTTAATTTTAGATAGCTTGAATCATTTAGAGTTTAAATTTGACTTGGGGTTAAAGGTTAAAAAGAAAAAAAAGACTCACTACAAGAAGAATCATTTGTACAGAATGACAAGGACTGTTGCCGCTGTATTGTTCCGTGTATTTAAAAATGGATGAAACCTCCATGGCAGTGACTGTAATCTTCATCTAAAAATATACATATAGCAGAGTGGGAGGCCGAATGAGGCCTGGTTGTCGAAACGCAACTCTTACCTGTCAGTCAAAGCAGCCACTCCCTTAATTATGCATAAGTTTAAGCATTAATACAAATCAGACAGATGAGCTCTAGAAAGATTTACATTCTGTAAAGTAGTCATTAACAAGGAACATGGATTTAGAGACCAAAACAAGGCTGTAAACATGTTTACTTCTGCTGTCAAGTTAAGCATTTTAACATGAGGATCTATTGGGATGAACTTGATTTTGGAGTCAGCCTCAAGAGGCTGTTTGAGGAACTGCACTTTGTGCTACTTCTGTATTGGCTTAATTTTTAGCATCATTTAATTAAAATCGACTCATTAATGATTGGATTTTTAGGTTCTTTTCTTTTATGGTTAGTTTAAGGTGCATGTGAACAAACTGGCCTTCACTGATAAATACGCCTGTGATTACTTCAGCCAACAAGTATCCAAGATAAAGATTCCTAATGCAGTTTGCAAAATGGCTGCTCCAAGTAGTTAGTTTCTGTGTTCATTTGAATCAAAATAAAAAAACTAACTTGATTCGTGTAAAAATCCCGTTTATTGTAAAGCTGAAGGGAGTTTGCGCTTGTCACCCTAATACACTCTAATCGGACTGTTTTATGTGACCCTGAACCTCTGCAGCAGAAGCTTGAAGTATGCATTAGGCGTCAGTGTTTACATAGTAAACCTATATGTGTTCCACCTTTCCACCTTTACATAACAATCTATTCTATGTAATTGAGTTTCTATTTGTAAAGATAACAATAAATCTACATTAAGACACTCAGCAGACTCTAAGGCACAGTCTGCTAAGCCTAAGTGTCTTTTGTCATCTATCATTGATCCCATCTTGTTTTCATTGCCTAAGAAAAAAAAAGAGCTTTCAATCCTTTTATCTCACCAGCACATGTGGGAATATTTTGTTTTGGCCAGAAAAAACTGACTAAGCAAAATCATACATCTATAAAAAAAAAATAAAAAATTGATTCAAAAATGAATAATTAAATGGCAATGTTATTAACAAAATAGAACGTGTAATGCTAAAAAGTCCATTAAAAATGCACAGCACAGGATGTTGTATGTCTTTTGTTTGCTCTCATTAATCTGTCTTTCCTGTTTGTTGGGGAAGATGCATGGGAAGGGAAGGAAATATATATATTTTTTGCTTCAACAAAATGTAAACCTAATGTAGACAATGGTACCTATTTGTCCTGCTATTTGTGTTTGTGTTACGTTATATATTTATCGATGTCTCTAGTGTATGATGAATATTGTAGATGATCAGATTTGTCAAATTAATCCTAATGAAAAGTGTCCAGTCCATGATTCTAATCTAATTATATAAGATAGATATAATTATATCTAATTATACAAGATATTTAAATCTGAAATGTACAGTTTATTTGTATAATTTCAAACTGAACAGTTTTCGGTTGGATTGAGTTTTGTATGTGTTTGTGTGTCTGTGCTGCTTCTTGATAGTTTATTCTTTTTGTCTCTCTACTCAATG